ATAAAAGAAATACTCGTACTTGTATTGTTAGGACATATTCGTACTAGTATTGTAAGGACATACTCGTACTAGTATTGGAAGGACATACTCGTACTGTAAGGACATACTCATACTAGTATTGGAATGACATACTCGTACTGTAAGGACATACTCGTACTAGTATTGTAAGGACATACTCATACTAGTATTGTAAGGACATACTCATACTAGTATTGTAAGGACATACTTGTACTCGTACTGTAAGGACATACTCGTACTGTAAGGACATACTCGTACTGTAAGGACATACTCGTACTAGTATTGTAAGGACATATTCGTACTAGTATTGTAAGGACATACTCGTACTGTAAGGACATACTCATACTAGTATTGGAATGACATACTCGTACTGTAAGGACATACTCATACTAGTATTGTACGGACATACTCGTACTGTAAGGACATACTCGTACTAGTATTGTAAGGACATACTCGTACTGTAAGGACATACTCGTACTAGTATTGTAAGGACATACTCGTACTGTAAGGACATACTCGTACTAGTATTGTAAGGACATACTCGTACAAGTATTGGAAGGACATACTCGTACTGTAAGGACATACTCGTACTAGTACTGTAAGGACATATTCGTACTAGTATTGTAAGGACATACTCGTACTGTTAGGACATACTCGTACTAATATTGTAAGGACATACTTGTAGTGTAAGGACATACTCGTACTAGTATTGTAAGGACATACTCATACTAGTATTGGAATGACATACTCGTACTGTAAGGACATACTCGTACTAGTATTGAAAGGACATACTCATACTAGTATTGTAAGGACATACTCCTACTGTAAGGACATACTCGTACTAGTACTGTAAGGACATACTCGTACGAGTATTGGAAGGACATACTCGTACTGTAAGGACATACTCATACTGTAAAGACATACTCGGACGATAAGGACATACTAGTATTGTACGGACATACTCGTACTAGTATTGTAAGGACATACTCATACTAGTATTGTAAGGACATACTCGTACTGTAAGGACATACTAGTATTGTAAGGACATACTAGTATTGTAAGGACATACTCGTACTGTAAGGACATACTCGTACTAGTATTGAAAGGACATACTATTATTGTAAGGACATACTAGTATTGTAAGGACATACTCGTACTAGTATTGTAAGGACATACTAGTAATAGTACTGTAAGGACATAGTCGTACTCTAAGGACATACTCGAACTGTTAGTAATTACTCGAACTGTAAGGACATACTCGTACTGTAAGGACATACTCGTACTAGTATTGTAATGACATACTCGTACTGTAAGGACATACTCGTACTAGTATTGGAATGACATACTAGTACTGTAAGGACATACTAGTACTGTAAGGACATACTAATACTGTAAGGACATACTTGTACTGTAAGGACATACTCATACTAGTATTGTAAGGACATACTCGTACTGTAAGGACATACTAGTATTGTACGGACATACTCGTACTAGTATTGTAAAGACATACTCATACTAGTACTGTAGACATACTAGTACTGTAAGGACATACTAATACTGTAAGGACATACTTGTACTGTAAGGACATACTCATACTAGTATTGTAAGGACATACTCGTACTGTAAGGACATACTAGTATTGTACGGACATACTCGTACTATAAGGACATACTAGTATTGTACGGACATACTCGTACTATAAGGACATACTAGAATTGTAATGACATACTCGTACTATAAGGACATACTAGTATTGTACGGACATACTCATACCGTAAGGACATACTCGTACTATAAGGACATACTAGTATTGTACGGACATACTCATACTGTAAGGACATACTCGTACTATAAGGACATACTCATACTAGTATTGTAAAGTCATACTCGTACTAGTATTGTAAGGACATACTCGTACTAGTATTGTAAGGACATACTCGTACTAGTATTGTAAGGACATACTCGTACTAGTATTGTAGGTGGCTAAAATTATAAAGATCGATACAGCCACTTTAAAATTTACGATTTTATCAACGGAGGAGGAATGAGGATTTTGTCTCGAAGGCTGTGGCATACTCAAGTAGATATTTCTTGTTCTCAGCTTGTCGCTCAGTTATTTAATAATATGCCCACGGTTGACAGCCAGTTGTCTGTATATCATGAATTACCTCCCTTTTATTGTAGGGTTTGCGTTTTCAACACTTGACTTGGATTGCCATTCTATTCGCTTATACATTCTAGTCATTCATGCTGTTACTACATGTGTTCTTCATATCATAGACAGCGTGACATCTTTAAGATTTTACCTATTATTAACATTACATGGCTTGATTGATTGATGAAAGAAGTCGTCATCGAAGCAGATAGCACTTGGTGAACCTCTGGTCGTATTTATCATGTTCACACTGGCAGCTGAACTTAACAATTTATATTCTTATAAATCTTTCTATTATTTTTTTCATTACTAAAAATGTCGATTTTGGTTTAACTTGTGATATGAACCAATCCGAGTTGCTGCCACGTATTAATCAGTAAATACGACTCTCGTTATGGTATATGATACACCATGATACATCAGTCATCATATTTTTACAAAATCTATAAATAATCATTTGTAAATAGTGTCATTGAAATAAGGACAAAACAAGTTTATCATGAATCAATTAGAACTTTATTAAACAAAGTCCATTGATGATGTCTAACTTTGATCAGAAACATTCTGGAGGTAAGAATGCCATTCCAACAGGGACACACACAGAACAAACCTTAGTTACGTGTATAGTGAAAGCATTGTTTCCTCTAATAGTAATGTCCAAGGTCTATGTATGATTTGCTCTCCTCGTGTACTGCGTAGTACAGCTTCCAGAACTTTATGTCGAGAGTAGGTATATAGTAATATTTCTATTGACTAAACATACAGCGGTACAAATTATCTTTGATTTTATCTATAATAGTTCTACATATGTACAACAGCATCACCAACAAACAACAACAGCAATCAAAACAACAACGGAACACGTCTTAATCACAGGGACTTTGTGCCAGTTCCAAACTCAATTGTCCGTATAAATGTTTTAGTTATCAATATTCCGCGGGGTGCGGATTTTTTTGTCGGTTCCCTGTGGTCTTAGTCGGTGTCCCGACGGCACCATCTCGTTCTCTACAGACACCCAATGAATGTAAATCAGTTCTCATTGATTTTATAATATCGCGTCATGAATGATCATGAAACCATTTACAACACAATCAGATACTTGGGTTATGTACAAAGGCTGCTCGACAGTAAAAACAACACCGCCATATAGTATAGTGGCTGATTTCGGTCAGAGCGTAACGGCCGAAATCGGCCACCATAGAGAAGGACTGAAATATCAATAACAACATTGTCCTGCTGGTACACAGGGACATGGCACGTACTTAGAGCCATGTCCTTATACAGTGGTACTGATTCTGATGTGTAGTAAATGTACTGACACATTTAGTATCTGTTATGTTTTTTTTCTTAAAATTGATGAAAGTATTGCAGTAGATGTTTGGAGCTCAAATGTGTATTCTATTCCTAGACGAGATCGGACAGCAACTGAAATGTAGATGCATACTGGGGAAATTTTCTTTTCGCGAGATATAGATCCCCGGGCACTTAAAATTGAGTCCTAGCCATGACATTACAGACACGAAATATCAGTGGTTTTCATTAATGAAAGTCGTTCCTTATCAAAGTAACTATCGCATCACACAATAACATAGTCCCTGTGAACATAGAGCGTCGACGGTGCATTCACATAACCCCGGGAAAATCGTGCGTCGACGTTTTTGCATAACCTAAGGGATATCAAGTGTCGACACATTTAACATTATCCCCAAGACCTTCACGCACCGACTCGTTTACATATCTCCGGGAAGAGCATGCGTCGACAGATTTACATAGACCCAAAGAACAGCATGCGTTGACTCATTAAAATATGGCCCAGGAACAATATATGTCGGAGAATTTACGAAATTCACGGAGATATTAAATGTCGACTCATTTGCATATTTGCCGAGAACATCATTCGTCGACGCGTTTACATTATACTTGGGAATATCAAGTGTGGACGCATTTACGTTCTCATCGGGAATATCACTGTCGATACATTTACACAGTATCCGAGGACATCAAGTGTCGACACAATTTACAATATCTCCTGGAAAATCATGATTTGTAAAGTACATTGGAATATTATGTGTAATTACATAATTTCATGAAACATCAAGTGTCAAAGCAGTTAGACACATTGGACGGAACATTAAAGATAAATTATTGTTAAAATATGATAATATGTATATAGATATAGATATATATATATATATATACGAAATATAGTCTACAAAAATATCCCTGATCCAACTCGAGACCTTGATCATGAGAAGTAGAAAATGTGTATCCATGTATGTTATTGGTTCTGGGGATATGTGCGGGGACCCACAACCCAACCCTGTTCATCACCTTAATTACTAAATCACAGAAGTTTTAACAGCCACGAAATACAGACGAAACTGGCTGTAACACATCCGTGAGGTAAACGCTTGTGAATAATACACATGTATATTGTACCCATCACCACCCCCATGGTGTCCTGCCGATCCTGGGATCAGAAAGTCCTCGAGAGTTTTGATAAACAGAAAGGCAAATATAATTAAAGGGTTGTATACAGATTCTAAAAACGTCGAAAATACTACAAGTTATCCGATTTAGAAAGAAAACAATGAGAAATGAACTATCAATAAGAAATAATTCAATACCATTGTGTCTGCCCAGGACGTAACTCATAGATATCTTTCCGGGTGGCGCCACCTCGTGGATACATATAACTTCAAAACAAAAACAATGTAATTTATCCGATAGGGGGCGATACATTACATTTTATCACAGATTTATATAAAAATAATTGAAAAAAAAATTCAACGAAAAATAAACAATTGCTTTAAAAATGTGTCTTTAAATTGTTTTAAAGTAATTAATTGATAATAAACGATGAGCAACTAAGATTCCTAATACACAAAACTAAAGTTCTTCCATCTATGTTTGATGCCTTCACGTTTCTGAAGTTCCATACGCTGTGCGTGTATCGTTTCAGAGATCCACTCCTTATGTATAGTGAATGTGGCGGGACGTCTGGGGATAGTGTTGTAGAAGAAGGTTTCCATATTTTCCATCTTGACCTTCGGACCGTCCTTCTCTATCTCCGGCTCTGGAACCGTCACGTAGTAGGGCAGCCGCTTGGAGAGGGTCTTTTTCCTACAAGTGGACAACAACACGTGAGATAGTGATGATACATATAGCTATAACAGAGCCACGGTCTCGTGGTACGTCAACCTGTGCTCAGTACAATTGTGACGTCACGACTAATCCATCGAGCACAACACAGGACGTCGAAACATTTAACACAAAATACCCATACCATAACCAGTTATAACCATCTCCGAGTATATCAGTTTGATATAAAGTCAAACTAGTTTAAGTTGCGTTTTTTTCAAACGTCTACATTTTACGTTACGTAACACACCTGCGATACCGTGGTTACCATAGAAACACATGTATAAATTAAGAACTCACGACATATGATGAACCAGTATCCCATCGTTACAAATTAAAAAATTACATTGACGTCAATAGCAAAGAACCACCAAGGTTTATAGAAGATTGACAGTCGATACCAAAAAACATTTACAAAAGCTCTTTGGTGGTTCTGAACCGATACCATTGAAATTACAAACGACAGCAAATTATCACAGAATGTTCACGTTTTAATTAATATTTGTTAATGAAACGTCAACCAAGAAAAAGCCAAAAGCAACACATTCTAAACTAACTCATTCATAAACACGAGACCCATTAGCTTATATACAAAATCACACACATTAGCTTATATACAAAATCACACACATTAGCTTATATACAAAATCACACACATTAGCTTATATACAAAATCACACATGTTAGCTTACACACAGGACACAGACTAACACAGACATTAGTGGTTTGATATATTTATACAGATTATGGGTTGTGAATTTAAAAGAAACAGAGGACATAAAGAAAGTTAGGAAAATCGATCAAAGCAGAAGCTGTTAAACCATAAAGACTGAGACAGTACAAAATAGTATATAGTTATATACTGTATACAATGTGTATCATATATAGAATCATGCAAGACCAACAGGCAGTGGTATAAAATGTGTTAACAGTAGAGGGTGGGATAAAGCTAGCGGGCGTATACATTGCTAACTAGTCTTACTTTAACTTGTACGGATCGCCATGAACTTCAAATCTCCACCCGTATTCTTTGACATTTTTGTCATAATTTTCCGCCGTCGTTGGGCGGCAGTAAGGTTCTTCCGGTATATAATATACTTCTGGTGCAGGTGATGTGGGAGGTGCAGGCGAAGTGCCTTCCTTTGGTGGCACAGGGGCCTGATAAACCTCCACAGGTGAACGAGTTGGCCCCGCTGACTTGACCGGGCGCTTAGGCGCCTGCGCCCGGTCACGTCGTATGACAGCACTCTTGATCCTGTCTCGGCGTGCCTGTTTCTGGTCCTCCTTTGGAGTTTCTTGTTTAGGAGGAGGAGGGGTCGGGGTTGGTAAAGTCTGAGAACTGGGCGTCTCCCCAACCTCCGTCTCTGATACACTACTGCCAGCCCAGCATTGGAGAGGTGTGGGTAACTCTAAACGAGGTACCCTTTTAAAATTATAAATGGGCGCACTCTTTGCACGCACCTGTAGTCCGGACTCTCGACCGGATTTTGACGACGTACTGGACGTTGGTCTGTGTTTAGTCGGCGTCGGCGTCGGTCGATAGGGTTTGGGTGTGCGAGGTGATGGCGGGTTGGGCGCCGTGTAATATTTACTGTCCCGGAACTTGTACATCGCCTCCAGATCTGCAACAGAAGTTATGTTTAATGGAGGTATATATATCTTATCGCCTGCAAGGCAAATATTCCCAAAACACGAATAGTTCATTAGTCGTAAATGTAATGAAGAGACCTGCCCGAGCCTTGATAAACTTTACTAACTTTCTCTCATCCGTTAAAAAAAATGAATTAAACTATCTTTATTTATCTAATGAGTTTATTAATATACCAGCTGTCTTCTCTGTATATCTTTAGGTAATATATGGTGATACATGTATGATGTAACACGTAGTTACATACCGTATGTGGTGGGCATGCCCAGCCTCCTTTCCGTGTATACATCCCGTACAGCCGGGTACCATCCATAGGTGTGTTCCTTCATCCCGGGATGTTCGGGTAGGTTAGGCAGGGAAAACCTACAACACAAGTCAAACGTGAGCAACTTCAACAAAAAGCACATAAATTATCTTAACATGAGCTCTTACAACGGAATACACTGAAGTTCTCCTAACATGACCTTCCACAACACCATACATTGAAATTTCCGTAATATGACCTCGCACAACACAATACAGTGAAATTCTCGTATCATGACCTCTCAAAACACAATACTTAGTTTGTGAATAAGATATCTTTTAAACATGTGTTGAAATATTTCAATTTACTAAGTTTGTGTTTAAAGATTTCATTCTACTAAGTTTGTGTTTAAAGATTTCACTCTAACTCAGTTTGTGATTTAAGATTTCATTCTACATAGCGTGTGATTCAGTCTGATTTCAATCAATGTGAAGCGGTTTCTTTTTCAAATATGTATCTGTTTTACGTAACTACTAATTAGTTCTTAAATACACAGCTATATCAAAACATGATTGATATACTAATTAAAACTCGAGTATCTCAATACCATATACAAAGTAACAATAACGTACGCTACTTGTTCCATTTCCCACGGCGACGCCATGTCTCTGATGTAAACGATGTATTTCCTCGGTAAACACTTTACAATTTCACATATCCATTTTTTTTCAGAAAATAAAACACAGCTTATGTTACGGGCACAGAGAAGGAATGTGAATCAGTATAACTATTTGATCAAAGCAAACAAGAATCTCAAAGGAATTATTTTGAAATTCATGAAAAGATTTTAATTAAACTTGATGAGATTATAAATATCCACACATGTGCATCGACCGTGGTATAGATTGTCAATCGGGGTCGTACTCCTGTACTTAAAATGTCCCAATATCTATTTAATAGGTTTAGAAATTGTCGATATCTACACAATGGCTATCAAACAGTGTTTAGTTCATTCGCATTTTTATTGTTTGGTGCGATATTGTAACAACGAGACGAATCCTGTGTATATGGTTTGTTAGCCCAGTCGACATTTTCACCCTAACACGACATAATATGTTATCGACTCCGGAATCTCATACCAAGGTTCTGTGATAAAATCACATAGACTGATAAAACAACAGACAACTACAAGTCGTGTCGGGCAATTAGGCACATTCTTATTAGGAAGAGTTTAATTAGAATATAATATATACGTTTGATATTTGTCCGGGAGCGCTGAGGGAGAGCTTCCTTGGCTTGTAGAATACCCAAGACTCCGTGAGATTTCAACAAAGAATAAAAACGAGAAAATGTGCAAAAATGATCGGAGATATTTTATGATATGTTAGAGATAAACTACACGAACAGGTCTAAATTCATAGTTATTACAAATAGAGTTCGTTTTGTGCATGATACACTGCAGTTTCAAAAGGTCCATTACGCCATGGCATATCTCAGACAAACTAACCGAATCACGCGAAAGTGTATGTATGCATGTGCATTCATTCGTGCATGCGTAATGGAAAATCTACTACAATGTACTAGAAGTCTTTTAAGGTGATCATGCATTTCTAGAATTTTTAAATCAAAGTGTTCTTCGTGATACAATACACTACTCTCTCCTGACTTCACACTAGGACGATCACACGTCCTTTCTGTTTAATGGTTAATGTTGTATACAGTTAGTGGAATAGAAAATCAAGCTGTTGATATAGATTCTCATTACGTGTAAGTGTTGGGCTCATTAGCCTGTGTGTGGTAATGTAAGAGAGGGGGTGGGGAGGAGGGAGGGGGGGATGAAAGTCATATCAACTCAATTAAAGAAAAAACACATTTAAAAGGGACCGATACGCATGGTTGATATTTTAAACGATTTTTGGTTCCATGGAGGTATCACGGCTTGTTTTCGTTTTCCATTAGGTCGATAATTATAGAAGTATTCTGGATCACCATATATCCTATTATTTTCATAGTGGATTGGACCGTTAGTACATTTACCAAACAAACACACAAAATATATTCATGTGGACTTGTGTAAATGGCCAGTTCAGGAAACTAAAATTGTTACTGTGTCGAGAGAATACAAAGTATTATTACAATATTTCTGTAGCATGAAACATTTCCATTGTCCGGCGTTAGCCTGGTCTCATGTTTAATGTAAATAAAGCGATACATATATTCAGTATGAGAAGAGAAGACAGAACGGTGGAAGATTGGTATTGGCATAACTTCAAGCATATAAGCACTGAATCAATACAGGTCGCGATGGTAGATAAATCGATTAATAATATATATCATATACACGTTTATCTGGGGCAGTCCTGTGTTTCTAGGGTCCAGCTCTCGGAGTCAAAAGGACGACAAACAGTTCCGAACAGAGGTAACCGCCTCTCCGGACCCAAGATTAGATATCACATGAATGACACTTTTGTCGATTTCACAATTGAAATAAATTCTTTACATGTTAATCGATCAAATTGGAATTGGACGTGACTTGTATAATATCGACAACCGCCTGGAAAAAACGTTAGGGCGCAGCATATTACTTACACTTCTGTATTTCAATAAGGAATAAATTTTAACACCGATCGAGATGTGAATACTTTATGCAAATAAACATTTTCAACAATGAGTTTTAAATGGTGTACCAACGATATGGAAATCTCTATTGAATTGTCATATTTCTTGAAAGATGAAATCAGCACCCATGTCATACATAATTAATGTCAATATCATTATTTGAAACAGACATGCGCATGATTTAAGAGGTACGGGGATAGTAAACAGATTATTACTAAAGGATATGTCGCTTTTTATTTAAGAAAAAAAAGTCATTTCTCTGGCTGTTTCTCATTCTTGACTTGATATGCCGGAACATGATAATGTGTTTATTAGTACATACAGGGACGTATCATCGTTTTTTCCATTTAATATGTAAATAGTCCCAGCATGTCCTTGCATATCATTCCATTTATATCTATGTATGATTTATAAGCTATGTTTACCTTGCGAACAAACTGGTGATTTATATTTCAAGTACAGTGTAAACTCTTTGTAGAAGTTCTGTTTTGTAAGTTCACACCCAGCAGACACGACACCGGGAGCTACATGCTCACACTCTGTCAAGTGGTTTTGGGACACTTTTTTAAGACAGGGTCACATGACATCTCCTCCAGTACAGTAAAGTAAAGTCACATGACTCGTTCTCAAGGACAGTAACGTGTGCAGCTGGGTCTGGTATGATTGGTACTCTAGTACTGTAAAGCAGGATCACATGCAATGTTCTTTAAAAGGTCATATGACTAGTTATCGGGTTTTCAAAAATATTTATATATAATTGTGATGTGTCATTTAAACAATCTCTGCAGATATGATACATACAAACGATAAACATCAATAAAGTTGATATTTTTTTTATCTCATGATACCAACCACATCACGTTAGTGTCTAGCTTCTTAATAAACATATAATGGTTTTATATATTTATAAAATCTTCAGTATAGGACAGAGGTAAGTAAGGTCCTAGATAAGGTAGCGTTCTCTATACAGACCACTTGGAACGTGTGTGATCTCTACAAAATCATCACAGGCCATAACCATGTAGTACTTTAGCGGCGTGGTCAATAAAAACCAAACACTCTCACATGTCCGTTGCTAAGGTAACTATGTTTACGTGAATTAAAACAACATAACAGTTACATGATCCAGCTGTGAAATGTCACAATGAAGAAATACTTAAAAAAAGTTGTCCGTTGTAATTATTGTTTATGCTGCTGACAAATGTCTAAGAACTATTAGTTGCTACGCGACTGTCCGAGGAGCCAGTCCGTTAGTGACGATCTGGTTAAGTAGGATGTTTGGTGTTTTATTTTCCACCTTGCACATCAGCGGAGGAGATATTGATAAAGAACAGCACAGGTATCACTTCTATCGACATTAAAAATCAATGACCACTACTCTGAGAGCCTTGTAGTGATGTCCGATTCCATGGCGAGGACTGACAGTCTGCGGGAAGTATCCACAGCATTAATCTATATGTTATAACAAGGATTCAAAACCAAAGATCAATAAATAGCTGCTGCTTAAAACATCCATAACGATCTAATAAGAAGGAAAATGTTGATTTACATTTTTAAGCCAACAAGGGTTGCTGTAGTGTTTATGTTACCATGGCGATAATAATGATGGTATACAGTCCTAGCTTCCTCCTTTTTGCCTTCAGGTATCAACGTCATGTCCTTGGGAAGGACGGGTCATTGTTTACATTCGTTTACGTGAATAATTAATAACAAACACACTCGTCAGCTTATCGAATCCTCGACACCAGCCATAAAACTACAAGAACTCCAGTTTTATTGTCCTGTAACTTTCAATGTAACGATAAAGTTAAGATTCTGGAGTCACAAATGACTGAAATCACGTCAGTTGGATAAAAGCGATTATCGAAACCGGAACTTAGACGGAGCCTGTAGCAACACATCCAGATTAACCGGAAGTACTCAACAATTATACAGAACGTACAAAGTGAAAGTCAACTTCCTTTCTTTGATCTTGTGGACACACTTGACAGGACAGTTTGGTTGCCATGGAGGGGATAAATGGGACGTGTAGTTTAGGGAAACATACATTTGTCTTAAGGTGACTCGGATAGCGACATCTCAAGTTAAACGAATACGCAGAACCGGAAGCTCAAATGTTTGGGGATATTTCTTTCACGCATGCGTAAATGATTCTAAAACGTGTGCGATGCGATATGTGACAGCCTCTTACGGTACCCTCTCCCCACCTACACTGTAACAGACAAGAACAGAATACAAAATAATTTGTATACGGATGAAGCGGTATCGATGAAGTACAGGGACGAGGTTAATGGTATTCAAGCGGTCGATAAATATCGCGTGCACATCGCATCGTTTTAAAACTCACTCATCTTTACAAATCTGTGTACGGACATGACAGCGTCGATGTTTTAACGATTAGTAAATACTCGGCTAGGTTCTTGTATAACAATGTTACCACGGGTTTCTACTACCCCTGTTAATCAATCTTCACACCCTTCAACACAAAATAGGAATTCGTTTTGATTTCAGAATAATAAGTGTTTTCATTATCAACAACTAATAACTGATATGTCGGAATATAATATCTTATGTGTGTTTTAGCAAACGATACATAGAAAAGTCGTGAACATTTCAGACACATCCAAGCTTTGTTACGGTGTTGTATTCCGACACGTATGTCAGTGTGTTCTACAGACTTAAAGGGGCGACAATATTACCTACATAAGTCATACCTGGTCGTCAGGTGAATGTGTTTAGGTGTGTAAGGTAAATACAAATATATACACCTGGTTGTTTGGAAGACCTAACAAACAATCCTTTCCTTCACAGACATTACTAAGCATGGCAATTTTAAACGTAGTTTAACAATATTCATACATCATTACCAGTACACTATAACGGATCGCTGAACGAAATAAGAAGACAAACAGCTAACGAAATACAGATTAACAGAGGTTGTCGGAATGGATGAAGTACTACAGACTGCAGCATAAAAGTGTTATTTGGACGAAAATACATTTTGGTAATATATAAGCTGAGTTAAGTTCGTCCTATTGCCGAATAGTGTACTGTCGTCAAGACTCTGCCATTCTGCACTCGTTGACTTACAAAGAAATAAGACGGTTTCAAAAATTCGTAAATCAAATCGTTGGGATCAAGGAAAATAAACAACAGGCAATAAAACTATCAGTTTAAAGCCATCACTTGTACAAATGTAAACAATGCAACAAAGTAATTATAGTCAAGGCGATATAAAATACAAAAGGACATTATAACAACCGGCATTACCTTCGATATAAATGTAAAAAAACCAACATTAATCAAGAGAGATAATCTGAATCGGGGAAAAAAGTTTCAGATGAGAACAAAAGAATAAACAAAAGCTGTAACAACAGAGCAAAGAAACCAACACGAAATTCAAAGAGAGAAACATCTTCAAAATACACAATAAATGTTACAAAAACACAAGACAAAATCAAATAATATATTATATATTTATATTCATATTTCATTTCACGTATTACAAGATAGAACGGTCAGTTTTTTCATTGGTCAAACAAGCCTTGTCCAGCTGATGTCAGACAAAATATTTAACTTGTGATATTGCGTATCCAGCAACAAGATAGAAGAACGAGGAAGTACTCACTAGACAAGGTAGGAGAACGACGAAGTACTCATTGGACAAGGTAGGAGAACGCCGAAGTACTCATTAGACAAGGTAGGAGAATGACTAAGTACTCACTAGACGAGGTAGGAGAATGACTAAGTACTCACTAGACGAGGTAGGAGAACGACGAAGTACTCACTAGACAAGGTAGGAGAACGACGAAGTACTCATTAGACAAGGTAGGAGAACGCCGAAGTACTCATTAGACAAGGTAGGAGAATGACTAAGTACTCACTAGACGAGGTAGGAGAACGACGAAGTACTCACTAGACAAGGTAGGAAAACGACGAAGTACTCACTAGACAAGGTAGGAGAACGACGAAGTACTCACTAGACGAGGTAGGAGAACGACGAAGTACTCACTATACAAGGTAGGAGAACGACGAAGTACTCACTAGAGAAGGTAGGAGAACGACGAAGTACTCAGTAGACAAGCTAGGAGAACGACGAAGTACTCACTAGACAAGGTAGGAAAACGACGAAGTACTCACTAGACAAGGTAGGAGAACGCCGAAGTACCCACTAGACAAGGTAGGAGAACGCCGAAGTACTCACTAGACAAGGTAGGAAAACGACGAAGTACTCACTAGACAAGGTAGGAGAACGCCGAAGTACCCACTAGACAAGGTAGGAGAACGCCGAAGTACTCACTAGACAAGGTAGGAGAATGACTAAGTACTCACTAGACAAGGTAGGAGAACGACGAAGTACTCACTATACAAGGTAGGAGAATGACTAAGTACTCACTAGAGAAGGTAGGAGAACGAAAAAGTACTCACTAGACAGGATATGAGAACGACGGAACGTTTACAACTTCAAATCAAAAATGATATCTAAAAATGGCATGAGAGACATTTTGAAATGTCTAAGGCAAACAAACAGTTGACAGGACAGTCTTGGTTATCTGTATAAGTAAGGCCCTATATAACTATCAGACATATTGTCGCACCTGTAAGCCTGTTCGAGATTAATTTACCTGGAGGAGGAGATAAGGTACACATATCTACCCCAATGTCACACGAGTGGAAATGAAGGGTGTATTTGTTTCAATGAGGGAGAGATAACATGGGATGTGTACATTTAGGATAGCCATACAAACAATGTAAACGGCTGTGTTGATCGTCCCCTCAAGGACATTGTCGTTACATTTTATAAGAACAAATAGGTCTAAATTCTAACAGAAACAATTGACAATCTCAGAATAAACGTAAAATTTACGACTTTTGACCATGTAAAACATCATCCTTTGACAATGATGGAATTTGATGGGATTATTCACATATCTTGCTACGCTCTTCCTGGTTTGAGAGAGTCGGTCATCATCATTATTCACACCAAGAAAGAAATAGCATCGTTAATTGAAATTATTCTGTCAGTTCGTGCTGTTCCTTTTCATTAAAATGCCGTGTATTTAATTCACGTACCTCAATTTTCTCTGTTCTCCGCTCATTGTTGTACACCGGGTTGGTTTTTTACAAATAGGTCTCCGTTCACGCCGATTTTGTTACAAAACACACATTTTACTCTAGTGATATTTTGTTAACGCCTTTCCTTCACTGTTCCGCTATTCCTGAACAGTCTTAGAGTTTCATATTGGAAACACTAATTAGTTAGATTCGAAGCTCAATCTGCCCATCAAACGACATTACATGACATGTGTACGACAGTGCAGCAGTCATCGTTTAACATGTTTTAACAAACGACTTGGTTGCTACCAAACAGTGACACGATGCGAGTCTATAGCATGGCTGATTGGAGGAGACCGCCGTGAGCTGTCATTCCTTGGGGTACATTGAATCGAATGTCAAAACCGTTTATGACAAGTGTATGTGTTTATATTTGATGAATCTGATATTATGATGACAGTATGTTCTTTGTTCTGTATTAACGTGCCATTCTGAACTCAAACATTTGTAAACTTGTGATTTCTAATTGACTAAGGAATTTCTACACTTTAATACTCTATACAAGTCATTCGGTATTGATTCCTTTACTATGATGGTGTCAATGACGCGTTAATTGTGTGATTTCCGAGTAGACAAGGTCATCCCCTACAGATTAACATTCTCACTAACAACTTTTAATTACATTTAAATGTTTTACACCTATCTAAAATCAGACAAACATCAATTTTCTGTAATTTTGGAAAGGTTAGTCAATTCTCCTTAAGTATAAGTTTTTCGTTTCCTTTAATGTGATTTTTTCTTAAATATTTAAATTATCTAATGCCTTAGCAGTTGTTCCATTGGAGTACATGTGATGTCAGAATTTGAACAACTTACAGTAGTAGTTGCCATCGTGGTGGTGATAGCGGAAACCAATCTTGACGTCACCCCAGTGAAACAAGGTGTTCTTTCCGTGTAGAGTATATGGGGGTTGTTTAGCCAACACTTAAGTCTGGATTTCAGCTCTCGAAATATCAAACAGAAGCAATGCTTGTTGTAATGACCGACAGTTATTCAGGCAAGCTGTCTTTTTGTAAGTGGCTTCTAAAATCTATTTAAATCCCACATATTAAACTACAATTGTTCGTGACTATATAGGTAATATATCTGGGTTTTAGGTGCCTATCATCATGCTTGACTTGTCTTTGATATGGGTTTCGCCGAGTAAACACAAAGATCGTTTTCTTAATTGGTTTGAACATCGAACAAAAATAGCTATAAGTAAATAAAGAAAATTAAAACTTCTTCCCTGTCAGTGTATATGGTGAGTGTTATTAAAACATCACGTGGCTCCTCTATAGAACAGCCATATCCTGTATATCAAACGAACACTAGGACTTGATATAAATTACCAATCTCTACGGCCCAGATGTGTATTATATTTAGCACCGACTGGGTTAAAATTAATTTTGTTTTATGGCCTTGTCGACTTGAGTTCGATTCTTCGATCGGACGTAAAACGTTTATGACGGTTATATCCCTCACGCCTTTTGGGATAAACAGAACCTTTTCTAACTACAGATTCCATGGTCCTGTATATCTATTATGAAGAATCATACAGACGATCGTGCCAAGTCCCTGTATGTAGGGCAGATATACATAAGGAGATAATGTATATAATTCAAAATCATTGATTCTATATCTATTTGTCGTAAGTGATGGCACGTCATTCATTATTGTATATATTTATTGTACTTTATATCTTTCACATACTCTGTATTACCATCGGGCAATTGCCCACACCATGAAAACGTACAATGATTTATTATCAGGATAGCACAATGACACCAGAGGTCTCCACACTCAAACCATGTATAAGGAAACTTGGCATATTAATAATTATTTCCTGGTACTTTGTAAGGTGACAAAGGCCGGTAAAATATCACCGATAGAATGTTGACCACATAAACACATTGACGATCGCCTTGTGAATTGCAACTCAGTCATGCAAATGTTTGAATACAGCGGGGTATCTAAGTGTGTTTGTTGACATTGTTTTACTTTTCAATCGAAGTCTACATTGTTCATATCGACGTGTATTGTTTGTTTATAAACCAACCTGAAACGAGAGACACAAAATTAAGGATTTTTATCGAGACTGGCAATCAAGGAAAACATGTGAAACCCCGAAATGACCATGCCAGTACGCACGCAATGTTTTCTTCGGCTCATCATCGGCTGAAACACGTCTCCGTTCTGAATACCTTATCATTCGATCGTGTACTTATCTGACTCCATCAAATACACATGTACCTGTATATTTAGCGATGAAGATTACATAAAACCAACGTTAAAACATCGATAGAATTTCCCCGTCAATACTGTCACCATGACAGCTAGACAAACCACTAAATGTCAGAACCAAACACGGATAACGTGATTCCGGAAATATGACCGACACTGCTTGCTGTCGTGTTCAAGAGAGAATACGATAGTGTCAATATCGGGTACTGTAGACAAACCTGATATCTGTTTAGGACACTCGGCTGCCATCACTATAACATCAGGGACAGCGCGGATACCATATCCGGAAACAAATACAGCCAGTCTATTTGTCTGTATTTCATCTAGGTACTGACTGGTTTTATTCCAGGTGTTTGGGGGTCTGTGAGACGGTAATGACATATGAAATTAGATACGTACAGTGAGAAGTAGTAATTAAGTATGTATAAACTATTCTAAAACTGCAGAAACGTTCTTGAGTTGACCAAATATTATAAGCGATTACAATATTTATAATTTGAGTAAGAAAATCAAACATTTGTCAAGATCGATAAAATGATAGAGCATCTGCAGCCCAATACCCGTTCATTTGAAAAAAAAACCCAGAACAATAACAGTAATGGCGTCTCAAAATGGCAAGTTAGATCCTCGTGTATGAAAGAAACAAAATGGGCATGGTACAACATCGCGAAACGTTCCTTGATGGACTAAATAGTTGTGCGATAGAAAGATGTTCTAAGCCTTTCTCCTTAGACATCAATGTGTCATTAGCACGTGAGGAGGCGACAAATGTGGATATCATCTACAAAAGGATTTGTTCTCGTGACCTCCGTAACAAATATACAACTTATACCGCAATGATAAGAACCTACCATTGGTTCCAAACTTTTCAATGTGATTGCAGAAAAAACGGAGCAATGAGAAAAAACACTTTCTGTTTGATTCAAAGCAGCTAAACAGGTGACGGAGTATAAGCGACCCGTCGGACGTTAACACAGATAACCATTCTATCTGATTTTATACCAATACCAGTGTTTTGCCTTACTGACAACGTGGGTGCCCACGTGACCTCTGTATGTATAACCAACACGTCGATTCCGGTACGAAACCAACCGGATTATAAATACTTTTTAAACACTATTATCAAAGTAAATGTAAAACAATAAGAGATATCTCGAAATGGACACGCGGACCAACGACACCGTATATATTTACTGTACGTAAACAAACACTAGTGTATGAAGTGGATACGGTCGGATTATCCTTATCACATCAGCTTAAAACACCTACTCATATAAATCCTCATTGTTATATTACATAAATCATGGATTTTCTACCTTCTCAGTCGATTATACAAGCTTTCCTAATCTCACTGAGTCAGGCGATTCTAACAGAGAGAATAAGAACCATTCTATAACAATAATGGCTCGCAAACTCCTAGACATCATCTAATACGTACATACTATAGATACCTGAAATAAACAAAAACAACCAATATGTACAGTATTTTGTTGTCACAATGAATTTCGGCATTAACACATGTTGACTATCCACAACTCTCATCCTTATTGATATGTTACTTCTAATGTTTCTGGACTTGTTTCCTCTGAAGACAAATAATTTGGCACTGGTTGAACTCCTGACATGACGACCAAAACGTCCCATTCTTGTATGACGTATTTTTACGATATTTAATCTGAATATTTCACGTACATCTCGCTCATCCTCAGTGACCGACGCCGGATAAGAGGAATAAAAACTACATGTACAAATGCCTATTATGTAAATCTCTATTGTTCTATTTGCTACTGTATCAAAGATAATTTCTGTTGTTCATGCGAGGCAGAATTTGCTAACAACAAGCAGAAAATCCTTTAACTTCTTAATTCCTAGAACTGTCAGGTATTGATTACATTGAACAGAAGGGGATATCATTCACTGAGGTATATAAACTATCCTTAAAGTAAAAGGGAAGAAGTAAGGGAGACAACACCACACAGAAACATATCAATTATCCTTAAAGTAAAAGAGAAGTATTAAGGGAGACAACACCACACAGAAACATATAGAGGAGATCAGAACGATAAGGGTATGAACATAATTAGCGTTCTAACTGCACACACGGCCTGTGGCCATGTAAGTGCTCGACATCATTGACCCATCTAGGCTGGTGGTCAGTCTCGTGACTAGACTGGTCTATGTAACTTCGTCGTGTTATGATGGGATTAACACATGAACACGTAATACATCCCGGGGTCACTCCATATGTTCATGTAGTACTTGGTAGTTATTGTTTCCATGTTAGTGTCCATGCTGGAAACTAATGTCGGAAACTAATGCCAATGGTAGTACTGTTAAATCATGTCTATTACAATACGTTCTACAGGTGTCTTATTGTCTCAAGTTTCAGATATACTTGTGACTGTCTATTGTAAATTAAATGACCTGAGTCTAAAACTTGGAGTAACTTTCTTCTTGTATTGATTCCAATAACACAAAAGAATTGCAATTTCAAGGATTACAATGCATTCTAGGAAACGTCTAGAAAAAAATCTATAGGGTAACAAGGCACAATAGTAAAGACGTCTTTTAAGGAACTTGTAATATACAGGAAATTAATAAGAAAATAATGCATTTTTATACTGAAGCTGACTTCATCTACCCCTCGTTGATAATAAGAACGCCACACACCTCGACTTAACCCACCCAAGGCTGATGATAAGCACTCACACAGACTTCGCCTTAAGCTATCCCATGCTGATAATAAGCACTCACACACCTC